GATTTTTGCCGATAACGGGTGTACCAGTGTGCAGCGCCAGCGTGCCTCGTGCAGCGTGGCACTGTCCCAAGTGTCAGCGCCACACTGGACACTGGTCCAGTAATCAGGTATGGCGCTTAGCCAGCGCCACTGGTTTTTGCGATAGGGTGCCTAGTGCATGGCCTAGTGCATTATTGGCTCAAACGCACCCAGGGAGAATGCCCGAGGAGAACAAGGAGACGAATCTTACAGGCATGTGTCCCGAAGTACAAAACCAGAGGTGGCCCTGGCTATGGGTTTGGCCTCCTCTCCAAAATTGTGATGGCTAGTGATGTTTTACTGAAAATATGTATATAACACAGGCGTTTTTCTTTAATGGTTAAAACCCAAAGCTAGCAACCCCCCCCCTAACTTATATTTCTCACACTCTCTGTATATATGCATGCACGCACGCACGCACACACACACACACTTGCACACACATTACCTAGTCTTTATCAGCATTGTTTGATAATAAATTGTAAATAAGCAGCGCACGATAATAATTCACCTTTATTTTCTCCATCTTGCTTCAGAGCACACCAACCAACCCGCTCAGCCTTCCCAATGATGGCACCTCTGCCGTGAATGCCCGAGACCACAGCACTGATGATTCAAGCAGAGTTAGCTGTAGCACGTCAGAAGTACGTACTGGGGAAGATTTATCTGCAGATGGCATGTGTTTTGAAGTGGAAGATAGAGATGATATGAGCGAAGGTGCTAGTGTGCAAGATGTGTTTAGTACTGAAGATATGCCATGCTCCAATGATAATGAGGGTTGTTTTTCTGTCGAGTTCATTCGTAATGGCGATCATGTTGAAGAACCAGATGGAATCAACAGTGGTGATGAAGGCAATGCACAGCTGCATGATGCTGATTGAAGTAGAAGAGAAGGTAATAAGGATGTTGATTTCGCTAACATTTTTTAAAAATCTAGGTCAGGAAACACTCCCTTTTCAGGCAACGACCAAAGCACAATTTTTCGTGCTTGTACTTGCATATATAGTTAGAGCAGGCCTCACATGGTCCCGAGTGCAAGGACTTACTAACTCTCATCAATGCTCTCTTTGGGATAAATGTTGTCCTCTCTACTACCTACGCACTGAGAAAGATATGGGGAAGCAAAAAAGAAGCGTTAAAGGTGCACTTATTCTGCCAAAACTGCCATGAGTACCTCGGCTTATCCTGTGATGCCAAAACCAAGTCAGTGTGATTTGTGCCACATGTAATTCAGAAAAAAAGCTTCGAGAACTGATGAGCTTTAGGAGCTTTTTTTATTGTTCAAGCTGAAGCAGAAGTTGCTTGAGTTTCTCAAACAAGTTTGTGGAGCTCTTCATGATGATTTGCTGAAATTATAATCCGGATCCCAGGTGCCAGGAGCGTTTATGGACAAAACAGATGGAAGTCTTTACCGTAGCATAAGAAAACAAATGAAAGTGGGGTGGAGTCACATCAAACTATCGTTCAACTGCGATGGGGCACCTGTGTTTTACTCCAGCAAAAGCACAATCTGGACAATTCAAGTGGTTATCAATGAACTGTCTGTTTTGATTCGGTGGCAAAATGTGTTGACTGCAGAGCTGTGGTTTGCAAGAGAACATCCACGTATGGATGTCTTCATGGCACAGTTTGTCTCTGAAATCAACAGCGTAGGAACATTAGTGTGGTTGCATGCTGGAAAAACCATAAGATCGGTGGTACATGCCTACCTGTTGTGTAGACTCTACAGCAAGGGCAGCCATCTTAAACTGCAAACAGTTCAATGAATACTTTGGATGTTGCTGGTACTTGCAGCAAGGCCAAATGATTGATGGTAAGTGTCCGACTGTATGAAACATTTTATAAGCTTGTAAAAGTGTGTCACCTTTTTCAATTGCGTTGATGGTATGCTAAAAATATTCGTGATATGAGTGTGTTTCTCAAGGTACTCTAAATGATAGCTATCACATTTATTAAGTTTTCTTACACAACTGCTTGCGAAACCACCAACAAAACTTTAAAACATTTTCATCTTTTGGGCATTGAATTACCTTCATGATTACTATAGAAAATTGTTACACCACCTATGTTACATGCGGTGACTACGAGTGGTGAGTTGACAGTACACAAACCGACGTGATACTGAATGGTTCAGCCTCTTATAGCAGTGGTTCAATGTGGAAACCATGCGAGGACATCACGATGCAAAAATCGTAAGCTAACAATGCCAGGTTACAATGAACATTCAAACTAGTTTGGGCAGTTGTGTTCGTCCATTTAATTCCCACAAAAACATACAAATGGCGAACCAACAAAAGGTTTTTCTTTTTGGGGTGTAAATATAAGTGCGACTAAAATAATCAGTAAACTAGTTAAAATGAACTGGTTGCTTTTTAAATAAAATGTTTTCAAATATTCAGGAGAATATTCATTATTTAAAAATGGATGGCAGTTTCATTTTTGGCATTTATTAAAAACCACAAAGTAGATGCGTCAGTGTCATTAGTGTTTCAATACTGTTTTTCTATCGCAGCTGCATTGCCTCAGAGCTTGCTGCTTTAATCTTTTAGGAAACGGTGGAGACCATGTAAACATATTTATCGATCTGTGAAGTAACTAGACTGACAGCCGTTCATCGTTTCAGCTTCTTTTTTTTTGTAGTGGTTGCCTGCGTGCATTTATTCACCAAGGTGGAAAGGTGGGCATATTGGTATTTCATGTTTAGAAGGGTAAGAGCGCACTGAATACAAATACGCAAAGAAAAAAGAACGAAAGAAAAAAAGAAAGAACTAGTAAAAGAAAGAATGAAATAAAGAAAAAAACGAACGAAAGAAAGAAAAAATGAAATGAAGAAAGAATACACAAAAAAGATGTGTGTGTGTCCTTTCTTTGTGTATTCGCATTCAGTGTGCTCTCACCATTCTTAAACATGCGTTTATTTGTTTTCTACAGCCTACATTCGCTGGCAAAAGATGTTTGTTTCTTGTTACCAACTGCGACATAAAATAGTGACAGTGGAATGGGACCATGAAAGTACTTTCTTGTAGCATCATCATTTCTTTATCCTTTCTCTGGCTAACAGTCAGTTAAGGTTGTTTGGAAAAAGAGTAACGTGTTGAGTAAGAAATGATTCTTGCCCTAACGTAACATATCTGGTGGCTCATAATGTAATCTATCTCGTAAAGAATGGATTAAAAAGAATATGACCTATAATTACCCTCCAAGGTATTTTATTTGAAATTAAAAGTGAAATAGTACACTAAAGGCCGTGTACATGATTGTGCAGCTATATTTAGATAATGAGAGTAGAGGAGCCAATACGAAAATACAAAAAACAGATCTTTTGTATTTGAAAGTGAATATCTCAACTGAAAGGGGCTCACAACTGGCCAGAAGTTGCAGTTAGGTCCTGAGGGGATTGCAAAGACAGAATGCTATATTTGTAGTTCGAATATAAATTCTATTTTTAAATTGCACATCAAAGGCACAAGATTGGTACATTAAGCTGGCTGGTGACACATTCTTGCTCCTGCTTGAAGGCACTCCAATTGCTGTTCTGTCGGCTGTCTTATAGTGAAATAACAAGTGGCATGGTCTTTGCAGCTACTAGTACCACCAAAAACCTGTGTTAAGCTGTGACCCACTCACGCGCAGTGAACCACAGCACATGAACACAAACTGTAGCCAAACAGGCTTGATGAACAAAGCATTATGATCGTACACGTGGGCTTCCTTCAAGTACTGCTTTGTGGGTGGTATTGAACTCGCTCACCTGCAACTTGCTCACCTGCAAGTGTCGCTCACCTGCAAGTGTATGTACGACTTCAGTGACACTGAAGATTGAATAATCTTTGTACCGAGCATCTGTAGAGTGCATTTGTATAATGTGGTGGACACAAGAAGACTGCTTTATTAGTTGCAGAAGGGAACGCTTGGATACGCTGTTGCCAAGTCTCACTTTCTTGATTCCACAGTGCCATTGTGATCACTGCCCGCTGTAGTCCTCATAAATGTTTGAGTACATTTTTGCGTTACCAATTACATGATTTGATACTCTAAATAGTAGGCTTTTTGCTGAAATCTAGAAAGCAGGTGCCACAGCAATCACTTGTCCGTTCTTTTAAACTCACAACGTCACTTTTTAGCGGCAAAACTACAGAGCTACTACTGTGTTACATTGTTTGAAATAGTTCAAACCACAAAAGAAAAATCTTCATGCTTCTGGCAGCGTAGTACTATGAATAAAAGTATCGTGACTAAGATGTGCTATATTTTTCTTACTTGCATGATAAAATCCTTCTTAGATACAGGATGGTAGCGAAAACACACCTGGATAACGACAGATTCACTTGACCTCGTCAGGAGACATACGAGTCTCTTGTCGCCTCTCATATTTCATATCATATTTCTCAAGTTTAGAAGTCTGAAATAAAGAAATTGAAATTAAAAAAAAAGAAAAAGTACGTGTGGCAACCATGACTTTTTTCAACTGCTGAAACCAGTCATTACAGTATGTAATAAGCATGACATTTGATATCAGCTTTCATTGCTCTCAGGGAAGTCGTTGTGGAGGAAGCACATTTTCGTGGGCCAGCAAGAGCTTATGACTACAAGAATCGGTTTGATAAAGGGAGTAAACATTTTGCTCGCAGGTACCCTGAAGTATAAATTCTCCAACCTTGTGGCTGACAGGACACACAGTGGTGTGCTAAAAGCCATGGTGCAAGCAGTCCGCCAAAAAGAAGGAGTTTTCGGCATCAAGAGACCATCAACACTTGTCAAGCTGCAAGGCTTTGACCTTGGGTCCTTCCTCCTGACTACATGCATGGCGTGTTGGAAGCGGTCACGAAGCAAGTAACCGAAATTCGGCTGTTGGATACCAATTATTCTTGCTATATTGGGAGAAACTTGAAGCTGATAGATCCAAGGTTGCGCTGTATAAAGCCACCCTTCATCTTTTCAAGGTCTAGGCGACCCTTGTCTGATTGTGCATTTTGGAAGGTCGAAGAGTGGCCTTGTTGGCTTTTATTTCAAAGTCTGCCTTGTGTTGCTGACATACTGCCAAGAGTTTATCGCTCATATTTTACGCTTCTTGTTAAGTCTGTGTTTGCTTTGCTTAAGGACGTTGTTTTAGAAGCCGAAATTCGTTCTGCTGAAAAGTTTCGGTCGTTATTTGTTCAACAAGTGGCCAAGCTCTATGAAGAAAACGCCATGAAGTTCAACATACACCAATAACTGCACCTTTCGAAAGCAACCCGATTGTTTGGCCCTTTATGGAGTACGTTGACATTCCCTGTGGAAGACGGAATTCACAGTGTACTGCAGCTTGTATCTTCAAATAAGTATTTTCTTATTTATTTACAGATACGGAGGATGTTCTCAGGCCCATGAAGGAGTGAAAACAAAGAAATACATTGACGAAAATTCGACATACAACTTGACAATATATCAGTGTTACTTGACGTAATTTCAAAACGTACAACACACATAAGGGGAGGCGTAAATAGGATTACAAAATTGCGTGTAAGGACACGATACGGCATGCATACGGTAAAAGAACACAATAATGATATGTTATATTTTTGAAACGACACTTTACCTAAAGCTTATATTAAAAATACGCTGAGAAAACACTTTTTATGACCCAGAGTTGACCATCTGTTCAGGTAACACATTTCAATAAAAAATTGCTCGAGGAAACAAAGAAAACTTGGGCAAATTATTGTAGCTAATCGATTACCTAGTAGTCCTACCATGTTGAATTCTCGCTGATTGTTTGAAAGTCTCTTGGATGTAGTGCTTCAGCGACACATTGAAGTGACTGTAGTAAAACTCATAGAGGAATTTTAATCTATATAAGACCCTACGCTGCTCGAGTGTTTAAAGATATTGCCCTATTACGTGAAGTGGTTACACTCGAGCGACACGAATAAACAGAATAAATGAAGCGCAAAGCTAAACTTTGCACTCTTTCAATTTTACTTATTAAGTATTGTTAATAAGGACTCCAAATGACATCTCAGTACTCCAACTTAGGTAGTACTAGTACCTTATAAGCGTCTGATTTCACAGCAGGAGAAATGCGCAACTTTCTTTTCCGAAATGCCAATTTCTTAAGTGCACCCTGACAAATGTTATCAACCTGTGTTTTCCAACTGAAGTTGCTTGTAAGTCTGACGCCTAACTATTTCACTTTATCGGATCTGTTGATCGTAGCATTACTTAAAGAATAAGTAAAGCCGAGAGGCCTCTTTTTGTTCCTGAATGTAATAGAAGTTGTTTTAGTAACATTCATTCTTAAACCCCACTGAGTACACCATGCCTCAAATGATACCCCACTCAGTACACGATGCCTCAAATTATTGCAAGGCATTGTTTATTTGTTTGGTGATCTTGGCTTTTAATAGCTGTGTATACCACGCAGTCGTCCGCAAATAATTTATTATGGGTAGGGGGTTCCACAGTTATATAAATATCAATTATATATACTAAAAAAGTAGAGCGCCCAGTACAGTGCCCTCTGGGACTCCAGAGCACGCATCCAACTCTTCGGAGATACACTCATTAATGGCGACACACTGTAATCTGTTTTTAAGTAACATACTATTCATGCGACTACTTTTCGTTCAACGCTAATTGAGAGAAGATTTGTAATCAGATTGGGATAGGGGACGACATGGAACGCGTTTAACGAATATTGAAATATAGCGTTGGTTTGACCATTGGTATTTAATGTATAAATTACGTCATCATTTATTTCAGATAGTTGGGTAACAGTTGACAAACGAGATCTAAAACCATGCTGTTCGGAATAAAACAAATCGTTATATTCGAGTTAGGTAATGATGGCCTTATAAATAATATGCTCGAAAAGTTTGCAACAAGTACTCGTAAAGGAAACTGGGCTGTAGTTGCTAAGTTCTAGAGAAAAGCCAGATTTATGCACGGGAATAGTTTTTGCCGAGCGCCAATCATCAGAAATAGTCGGAGTGCGTAGGGACATAACGTATATTTGATGCAGATATTTAGCTACCCTTGCAGCATATCTACTTAAAAATATTTGACAGTTGATCGGGGCCAGCTGATTTATTCACGTCTACTTTATGCAAAAGGCTGAGGACACCATCCTCTGTTATTTCTACTTCAGGCAAAGGACAATCAAAAATGTATGACGGAAGCGCTGCGTGCGAAGCTGTCCTCGTGAGCACAGACTGAAAAAAGGCATTAAATTTGTTCGAAATGGTAGTCGCGTCAACAATACTTTCGCCTGAAACATTTATCTTCGAAATGCCTTCTTTATCTTTCGAGAGATAGCGCCGAAACTTTGGGGTTCGTCGTTCATGAATGACTGCAGAGTAGCAGAAAAGAAATGCTCTTTTGCTAATAGCGCTTATTTCTTCAGATTAGAATTTGGGCTTTGTGGGTCGCTTCTGTTACCACGTTGGCGACGTCGCCCAATTTTTCGTTTTAAATGAATCGTTTCACGCGAGAATCAAGGGTGCTCTCTATTAGTACGTTTTCTTTTTAATGGTACATACTCTCGCTTGCAATAAAAAACAATTTATTCGAAATTTGACCACATTTTTATATCCGCATTTAGGCTCAAACTAACGAAGCGCGATTCCAAATATTTTAGGACAGCATTGTCGTCCGCATGAGTGTAGTCTCTGAAGAGAATTTCTGACGGCTTAGTAAAGTAACGTGTACACGAGATAGGACAAGACAAAGCAATCAACGTGTGATAGGATATCCCCTTTTCAACCCTAACGGATGAGCCTTGAAGAAAGCTACTAACAAAGGCCAAATCAAGGAGTGATGAGGACGAGTCAACAACCCTAGTAGCTTCGGAAACTAGTTGACGTAAAGAAAAGTTAAACGCAGTCGTGAGCAGTAAGTCCGCACTTTTGGACTCTTTGCTATCACGGGATAAGTCAAACCAGTCAAACCACCTGGTAAGTTGAATTCTCCTGTAATTATAGTATTCGATCGTGAATTGGTATTTTCTGCAAGGAAGTCGCACATGGCTTCTTAATATTTGTGGAAGCATTAGGTGGCCTTTATACGCCGCCCATAGCAATAGTTTTGCGAAGAAAGTTAAGTTTGCCCCCCTACACTTTCGTAGTCACTAATTCCACCCAGTATAAAGAAGCCAATGTTGGTTTTGATGGCGATAGCTACCCCTCCCCCTTCTCGTGATTCCCTATCTTTACGAAAATGCTTATATGTAGAGGGTACGATTTCCAAATCGTGCACATCTGCATGCAACCATGTTTCTCTTACTACTAAGGCGTGAGATGAGAACAGGATATTAGGCCTTCGACTAAACCAGAATTATTCACTATGCTGCGCGCACTGAGCAAAAGAACTTTTAGCACTCTGGTTACAGACTCTCATTTTTTATCGCGCCTACGCGTGTTCACACGAACAGGCGCAGCAGAATCAGGTTCAATCCGCACCTGCATAGCAGGCCGCTTGACTTCTACCCGCAGTCCCTAGTGTATACGTTGCTGGTCCCTAGTGTGTGCTGGTCCCTAGTGTATACTTTGCATTCCACCTTCTATTTATCAAAAGATAGTGAAACCTTCACCCATTAGCGTTTTTGTTAGCTGCAGAATGCCACAGTCTACCGCGCAACTCACGTAGCCTCTTTGAGAAGTCCTCCCATACTGAAATATCCGTTCCTTTCAGCTTAGGGCATGATACCGTTATTTTCCTTTTCTCGGAAAAATCAAAAAGCCGCAGTATATCCTGTCGGTGTTTCTAAGCTTGTTTGGAACCTAACCTGTGAATCCGCTCGATGGACCTAATTTCAACCATAAGTAACTCTTTAAATACCTCTTGCTCAACTCTGTTTCGGAGGGATTTGTTGTCTTCGTTTGGTTCTTTATTTAAGCCAAAAATTTAATTTCTTAGACTGCGATTTTCTAGGTCCTCGACCTTAGCTGACAGCTCTTCTACCAGTTTTTTTGTCTCCTTGTAGAGTACCTCGTGCTCGGCCAGCCTATTCTTACATTTTTTTAAAACGAGCAAGCTTCTTTTGCATTGAAGTTATCCTTTCCTGTACATCAAGTTTAGGTAATTCAACTTATTTTAGATTGGAAGAAAGCGCGAAGAGCGTCTTACTAGTTTTTTTATCTTTTATTATTTTCTTCAGAATTTAGCCATTTACGGTAGCTTCAGATTCCGAATCCGGGGTTGGTCAGGGGTTTAGCTCTGCGTCTCCAGATGTTAACAACAACAATTTGATAACATGCAAGCAATCGCACAACAAAGCAAGCAGTCTCTGTGGGCCCGGCAACACGATCAAGGAAAGTAAATCGTCCTTAATTGATTACCCAGAATATTTGTCACCAACCTGGGTGAAGTAGAAGAAGTTCACAAGCATCCATCCGTACGCGCTGCTGCCAAGCCCACTGAAAGGCTGCAGAATCTGAGTCCGGGTTTTATGCCAAATCCGGGAAGTGTCCGCTGACGTCACACTGGTGGCAAGATTGGGGCAAAACAGCACTCGAGGCGCAGCCTGCTGCTCCATCGAAGAAACACTCCGACGCAGGCACGATGAAAGTTGCTTGCAATAAAAGGCTGTCAGCCGGTCGTCCCACGATGAAATCCCCCCCCAGCAGGGTAATCTGGGTGAATTAGAAGTTCATGAGCATCTGTTCGTACGTGGTGCTGCCAAGCCCACTCTGTATGTGCCAGTTCAAATCGCTGAACGGTGCATAATGCACCGAGCCTGCCGGACTCTCTCTATGCAGAAAGAGCTTTCGCCTAGTCTGCTATCTGCCAAGAAGGATGTGGAAAGTAGTTATAGGAGATGCTCTCAAAAATGCTTCCTTGGACTGGCACAGGCATGCGTTCATATGCCAGAGAACTTGAGAGAGCGTTTCTTTTCCCAACTTGGTTATATCCCTCATGTGTCGAAGTATTTTAGAACGAAATTTGTCCCCATGATCAATCACTGCATAGAATACAGTGCACCCAGCGAGACTTGTTCTTGCAATGTGAAGATGCGTGACGGGTGCTACTTTTTAGTTTTAGGGATATGTGTTATAACTACAGGCAATATGTACTTCCACTGCCAGCAGCTTTTAATCAAACGAATTTCGTTTGATGTTCCACATATACCGGAGTGCCAGCTTCCGCCTCCTTCCGTTAGTAATTTTTCGTATTGTTCTGGAGATGTAGATTTACAGTCTGTTTTTATATTGTTTAGAGGCAGTAATACGTGTGTGAATTGCCTAACAGGCTGAAAAAAAACTAGTGGACGTTTTGATGTCCCCTAGTTGATTGTGTAAACAGTGTGAGTGGGATGAAATTACCATATTTACACAACTGTAAATAAACACCTTAACTTCATTATCAATTATTATTGTGAATAGCTTATTGACGATGAAGATTAAGCTGATTGGCCTCTAATTTTTCAAGAAGAAGGGTATGTGGGCAGGATACAATGTGAGAGCATAAGATAACTGCTGGTCATGTACCTTTTCAGAAATTGACGCGTGCCCTCCTACGGTGGCTGCAAAGCATTACGGGAAACCGGAGCGCCGGCGGAGTGTCATCTGCTCGCGGAAGCGTTGGCTCACCCCGTTTCCTACATCGCGCAGGCGTACGAACGCATCGTTGCGGGAAAGTCACGCGTCATATCCCTGCTTTCAATCTGCACTCACAGAAGAGGCTCCACCTAGAGCAACATATATACCTACATACCTAGAGGGCACGGCAACGTCCATGCGAACGAAATGCCTAAACTGCCGCCGTTCGTCTTCCAGGTTGTGCCGTGGATTTTGACAGCGATCGCGACAAGCGGATCTGATGGGACGCCTTTCCTGCTTCCTCATCTCAACCTGGTTTTGGAAGTAGCGCCGTGGATCAACGGAGCATCGGCCTCCGTGACGTCACCGGCAGCGCAGCTACTTAAAGAGCAGCACATCAGGCAACTCCTCAGAGGGCACGGCAACGTCCATGCGAACGAAATGCCTAAACTGCCGCCGTTCGTCTTCCAGGTTGTGCCGTGGATTTTGACAGCGATCGCGACAAGCGGATCTGATGGGACGCCTTTCCTGCTTCCTCATCTCAACCTGGTTCTGGAAGATGCGCCGTAGATCAACGGAGCATCGGCCTCCGTGACGTCACCGGCAGCGCAGCTACTTAAAGAGCAGCACATCAGGCAACTCCTCAGAGGGCACGGCAACGTCCATGCGAACGAAATGCCTAAACTGCCGCCGTTCGTCTTCCAGGTTGGTTTTCAAACTACTGTTGTCACTTACCGTAGTAATAATGGATTTTTGATTGTCCTGCCGTGCCCTCATAGATGTTCCTTGATTCTTGTTGATTGCTGGTCTGTGTTGCTGCGGTTGTTGATGGCGGGGGATGTCGAAGAAAACCCCGGCCCTACTGTGGCCCAGCAGCTACAGAGTATTTTGGAAAATCAGGCAGCATTTGACCGTCGGGTGACTGGCATTCTTGATCAATTAGCCGAGATACAGACAAATACCGATGGATTGGCTGGCTTAGTTGCTTCAGTCCAAGAACTGAACGCAAAAATTGAAGTTCTGGAACATACTGTAAAAGCACAGGCAGAAAGGCTAAGTGAACTTGAAAACAGAAGTAGACGCAATAACCTCTTGGTTTTTGGCGTAAAGGAAGGCAGCCCGGAATCGGAGTCAGACCTGAAAGTTTCTGTAGTCGACAATATATTTGGCAAAAAACTGAACGTCCATGTTAAAACAATAGAAAGAATTCATAGATTGGGCAAGCAACGGCCGGGGCATATTAGACCAGTCATAATGAGGTTCTACGATTTCAAAGAAAAAGATGCTATACTCCGAAACTGCAGCAAACTAAAAGGAACTTCAATTAGCGTGAGCAATGATTATTCGAAGGAGACGGTCGCGGTGCGAAAAAAGTTGTGGGACAGCGCAGCTGCGGACAGGGGCAGCGGAAAGAAGGTATCGCTAGTTTATGACAAATTGAAGGTAGGCGAAAGCTTATTTACTTGGGACTACAACCGAGATGAACGCCAACCATGTCGTAAGGAGCGGTATGCTAAAGGATCGCCAGCAGCAACGCGCAATTCTGATAGCGTTGGCGGCGCCCCTGTGGGAGGGGCAGTGGCTGCACCGTCACATGCGTAGCTAGTGCTTCTCCTGTTCAATTCTCGTAGTCTTGTTAATAAGATAACTGAACTCGAACATTTATTGCTGTCGAGATCTCCCTCTGTGGAGATCGTAACAGAGACTTGGCTAAACAACGATATTCCGAATGATGTGGTTGTTCCTCCTGGGTACAGAGTGTTTCGCTGGGACAGAAATTCCCGTAGTGGGGGCGTTGCAATTGTCATAAAAAATGTATCTTAGCAGTTCCAATTAATTGCAATTTATCGGAATCTGTATGGTGTAAATTTACGTACGCGAACACCAATTACCCTATCGGAGCCATATACAGACCACCTGCCACTTCGCCCGAGTTTCTGGAAGACCTTCAGACGTTTTTGAACTCAAATGTAAACAAGACAACAAAATTAGTCCTGGCCGGAGACTTTAACCTACCAAATATAGACTGGATTTCTTTATCGGCCGGTAATAAGGATGCTACTAGCAGCGAAAAGTTATTTGAAATAATGATCAGCCATAACCTAACCCAAATTGTTCAACAGGCCACTAGAGTAACATCGGGTTCTCAGTCACTGCTAGACCTGGTATTCCTTTCGGGCACTATGGAGGACTTCAGTGTTACGGTCGAAGACGGCATATCTGACCACAAACTGATTTCGGTTTAGTATCTATGTGGTACAAAACCTGGAAAACGACCCTTCGTTCGGGTGCCTGTTAGTGACTACGGCCGGGCAGATGACACGTCAATATTAGACTTTTTGGAAACTGCTTTTGATGATTTCAAGCAAGTCTCTGATAGCGAGTCAGTTGATTGTTTGTGGCAGAAATTGAAATCAATAATTAACAGCTGTATAGAAAGGTTTGTTCCCATTCGATTGAAAAAAACAAGGAAGACTAACCCCTAGATCACTAGAGATGTTATCCACACTAAACGCAAAATAAAGAGATTACACAAAAGACAAGGCCACTCTGAGCAGATTTCCCAGCTACGAGCAGCGTTGAAAATCCAAATCTCCAAGTCCAAAAAAACGTTCTTCAATGAAACGCTTTCTGGGTTCTTGCGCACTTCGCCTAGAAAATTTTGGCTATACTTGAGCGATCGGAAAGAAGCGATTGAACATATCGCGGTTGGCTCTGATGTTGTAACCCAGAAACAAGATATAGCTAATGGTTTCAATCGCTTTTCCAATCTGTATTTACAAAGATGGCATTCACGGATGAAGATAAGGAAACGGCCGATACTTGCACATGCGCCATGGATCCAGTTTCATTTGATCAAGCGGGCGTGTTTCAGCAGCTACTTAATTTGAACGAAAATAAGGCTAATGGACCGGATGGAATACCAACTGTGTTTTTGAGGCGGTATGCGGAGTGGATGTCGTTTTACCTAGTCATTATCTTCGAAAAATCACTTTTGACACATTCGCTTCCAAAAGACTGGCTGAGCGCCATTGTGAAACCGGTATTTAAAAGTGGCGACAGGATGCTTTTTACCAACTACAGGCCAGTGTCTCTGACGTGTGTTTGCTGTAAGGTTTTGGAACATGTCATTGCCAAACAGATGGCTATTTTCTTGGAGACAAATGGACTGATATGTAGGCAACAGCACGGGTTTAGGTAAGGGCTTTCCACGTTATCCCAACTGATTGAAACTCTCCACGATTTTGCCGCTGCCGTAGATAACAGAGAAGAAGTCGACGTGATATGCATAGACTTTGCAAAAGCCTTCGATAAGGTCTCCCACCATAAATTGCTCTTCAAGCTCAAACGAACAGGCGTAAACGAAAATATCCTGAAGTGGATTGAGGCATACCTAACGAACCGCAAGCAGTCGGTACGAATTGATGGGTTTGAGTCTGAATCACTTGATGTTTATTCCGGTGTGCCCCAAGGCTCCGTGTTGGGCCCATTGCTGTTTTTGGTGTATATAAATGATGTTGTTGACATCGTTAACCCTCCTGTAAAAATTAAATTGTTTGCTGATGATTGTTTAATCTATACCCCAGTGACGTGTGCGAATGACCAAATTGTAATTAATGATTGTTTTGATGATTTTCAAACATGGTGCGATAAATGGGAGATGAAAATAAATTATTCTAAGACAACATATACGCATATAGCTACCAAGAAACACGTTTTACCATTTACGTACAGCATTGGACCTAATTATTTACCACAGGTGTGTGCATTTAAATATTTGGGAGTGCATATTACGAATGATTTGAAATGGCGTGCACATGTCGAGAATGTATGCTGTGCCTCTTACAGAAAAATGCGTTTCTTGCGTGCTAAATTACCGAATGCTACGAAAGACTTCAAGCTGCTTGCATATAAAACATTTGCGCGCCCTGTTTTAGAATATGCTTGTGCTGCCTGGAGCCCCCACCAAAAGGATTTAATAGATAAACTGGAACGAATTCAGAGACTTTCCGCGCGATTTATATGTTCGAAGTATAAAAGGACTGATTCGGTTACCGAGATGTTAAAACTAAGTGGTTTGGAATCTCTAGAAATTAGACGACAAAAGCAGCGCCTAAAAGTACTTTTTCAGATATTGCATGGTCAAATAAAAATAGATAGAACAATTTACGTACACCCCCCGCATAAGCTCAGCAGCCGGATCAATCATGACGCGGCAGTTCGCCCCTTCGGTGCTCGCACGGACGTCTTTCGCAAATCTTTTTTCCCTGATGTTATAGAAGCGTGGAACAAATTGCCGCGACATATTGTTGTAAATTCTGACGTTAAAAAATTTGAATGTGCTCTTGATGTTTACTTTGCCGAGCAATGAATATGCTATTGTGTTATTGTTCAAAGTTGCTGAAAATATCAATGTCTGTATTTACTTTCCATATCCTATGCTTCCCTCCCTGTAATGACCCTCAAGTGAGGGTTGACAGTATAAATAAATAAATAAATAAATAAATAAATTATGAAGTCAGGAAACACTAGTATTCTTGACTTATTATTGGCTTGGGAAATTGCTCACGCAGCCACGAAAAGGCCCATTGAATCGGAAATTTTTCTTGGCTTTCGCGGCGATTATCCTGTGCATCGTAGATCGTTGTTCCGCGTAGCTGAAGCTTTTTTCATTTGTTTTATTGTCACTATGACCATGCAGCTTCATTATTATTAATTTATGTCGGGGAGTGTCAGGTGTGATATGCTTCCGCGTGGTACGCAGTGCAAGATCATGCACTGCATGAATAAAAATGTCCAAATTGCACCGTTACAAATGAGTTAGTGCCACTATGCTGGATATATTTGAATGCTCATTGCCTGTTTGAAATGCTCTGTTTGAGAAAGTTTGCACTTCGGACGCTGTGCGTAGAAAAAACCAGCTAGCAGCACGTCATTAGAGCGCTTACTTTGCATGCAGTATTTGCTTTTAAACAGAATAAAACATGCTGTGTCTGCCTAGTTCCTGTTTCTAGGACTGTGAGTTTGAAATTAGCCCAAAAATTTTGAAGCTGACTGCGCAAAAGGTCATAACTAGTTAAGACTTGAAGATATATACAATGAAATGAGCGTCAGTGTGCATATTTCACACATCATACTATTTTACTGTTCCAGCTTCCGTGATCTCTTGTTTCATTACAGTTTATAACTATGCTAATATAGTAATTTGCTGTTTGTATAGATGTGCCTCTCCAAGCTGCCCAAAACATATAACCACTCCTGTAAGCTTTGCCAAAAAGGCCAAGGACAAAACATCTGAAGACCTCGCTTCAGGCGTATTCAGAAGAAAAAATTGCTTAGCGTGAACATTCTAAGGGTGCTAATAAGCACTCACTATCTGGGCAAAGATGGTTTAAGCCAGAAAAGTTTGCCGTGAAAAGCTGTTAATGGTCAGAATGAGTTTAAAAGCAATGGCGAAAGCCTCATTTAGTTTAGTAAAAGTATAGACGTCCCCAGCTGCGTTTCCAAGTGCTGACAATATGAAAAAAAAAACTGACGGCGAGTGCTGTTTTTGTATGAATAATCATGAAACTCCCGCTAGTGTTCTTTGCCTTGACCCAGGAAAAGAGAGATAGAGAGAGCGAGAGAGAGATGCGTGAAGCAAAAATAGGTGAGGCCTCTAGGTTTATGGCAAATAAAAAGCAGATATGATTGAACGTAACCATGCAGTAAACAGCCAGATAAGCACGACACAACAGCGCAAAAAAAGCTCGCAGGGTTTCTTATGCATTCACCCAAAGCGACTTGAAGGCGACAGCCGTCGGTTTCTTTTTGTTGTCAATTTATTGGTCCTCTATCCCCCCACGCCCTCTGCGAATGTTTTCTGCACCTAAAGAGGCCTTGCACTGATTTATGAGTGGAGGCCTTCCAAACTTTCAGCACCTCACCTGGTTCTGCTTGGCCTCCGTGATTGGTGGGCCGATCAAACAATAACGAAGCAGTGCAAAGCGACGATGTCGTCTCGTGACGTGATCATGGGACTGTCATGATGACCTTACACAATCTGGTGATCCGTAATGTCGCTATGACGTCGTATGGTGACGCCATCACACGATGATTTTTGCATCACTCCTGTTGACGCCTACGCTGTGGGCGCCAGAGCCACCAACGGTTATTTTTCGTTTTTAGGCAAAAACCTTAGGTGCCTCATAAAACGTGAAACTCGACCATTTTCGTCTCGCGTCCATGACGTCGGAATCGAAAAAAAAACACCACGTGATGACAACACATGTAACGTCAGACATCGGCAAAAATTGTGACTTCATCAGAACATTACGTGACTTAACGTGCCCACGTCATTGCATGACATCCGAGCTTGGTGCAATGTGGTCTCATCATGTAGGCAGTGCAATATCAGTTTCACACTGCCTTCGTTTTTGGAGGCAGTGCGAACCTAGTTAGGTATAGCAAGTTTTCAAAGAGGGGTGTGGATGGTGGTGGGCTGGGGCATCGGCTGGTTGGTGTGAAATGGGCACTGCCCCCATCAAGCCAGACCAGCACCTGGCCACGCCCAAGCTACACCAGTGCTCTTCCCCAGCCACGTCGCAACACGGGATCGTACCCACGGGAAAAACCTGCTGACACTCATAGACTGGGGAGTAGGGTCAGTACACCAATTGAGAAGAAAAATAAATTGGCCTTCTCCATCAAATCATCTTAACCGGATGAACAGGGGACCCTGTGAGTTTACAACGTGGTATTTAAGCCCCTAGCCCTAATAAATTCGTGTAGTTAATTACAGGGTAAGCTGCAAGTGTAAAATTTCTGCCCCTTAATCACAGTGAGGACACAGATAACAAAGTTCCAACTTAGCTGCAGCAGCACAAACATTGAAGCAATAGAGTAGCAACAAGTAATGAAGGAATGTTATAGATGTTGGGGTTTAACGTCCCTGTACCACCACGCAATTATGAGACGCCGTAGTGTAATGCTCCAGAAATTTAAGCACAGGGGCCTGAAGCATTTTCGCCGCAATCGAAAATGCGGCCGTCGCGGCCGGTATTCCAACCCGCGACCTGCGGACTTGCAGCCGAGTGCCTGAGCCATTAGAACACTGTGGCGGGTAAGCAATGAATGAAACATTCAGTGGCTTTCGCGCATTATCACATCCCAGAACCAAGCAAATGTGTCCGCCGCTTTTATCATTCGGCTTGTTATGTGATGATTACGGTTATTTGTGAAAAACATCACATTCTATTATGCTTGAATGAAAGTCACAGCAATCGGAAGAAGCGTTTCCTCACAATAGCAGCTCCTTATACCAGACAAAACCACTCACGGCAGCAATAAATGCAGCCGAATGCAGCCGAACTCCACTGAACACAAGCTTACTACCGTTTATTATCTGCAGATGAAGGGATTGATTTTATGTATTGTAACGGAGGCCGAGTGAAATGAACTACCATGTGACTTTGCAACAAAACACGAATTTATTGAATTTTGAAAAACCATTTGCATGGGTCTCATCTCCTCATTGTAAACTTTTACTGTTATTTTACACATTTGTTCAGCTTAGGTAATATATAGCAGTTGGTTTGTTTTGT